GGGCTGGCGGCGGCGGCGGCGGCGGCGGCGCACCGGGCCGGGCCCAGTGCCGCTCCGCGCCCCCCCCGCGCCCTGATTGGCCGCCGGGACAAAAGTTTCTGTGGCGACGGCGGCGCGGCGCCGTGACGGGCAGCGCTGTCCCATGTCGGGATGCTCCCGCCTCCGCGGCCGCGCACCCTGCCCGGGCCGCCGGGGACGGGGAGGGGGGGGGATGCGCGGGGGGAAAGAGAGGCGAGGGCAGCGTTTCCATGGCGATGTCTCGGGGCGCAGTCGTTTCCCCCCCCCGCCCCCCCCCGCCTCCCCGCGCGCAGACGGAGCGAGTGGATCAGCTGACACTTCATTAGCTGAGGACCTAATTATTGCTTATTGGAGCAAGAAACGCGCGCAGGGCCGCGGCGGGGGGCCGACGGCCTCCGCGCCCCCGCCGGCCATCCCCCTCGGCAGCCTCTTCCCCCGCGCTGCCGGCGGAGCGCAGGAGGAGCGGCGGTACCACGCACTTTGCGCCGCACCGGCCGGCGGGGCCGCGGCGGGCCCGGTGGGGTCCCTGCGGGACACGTGGCCGCCGCCGGGCCGGGCTTTCCCTCGGAAACGGAGAGCGAAGCCCCTCTGCCGCCTCCCCCTCGGCTCGGCCCCCGCCTGGCGGAGCGGAGGGGCCGCGATCCCCCGAGCGCCCCCCTCCAGCGTTCCCCGCATCTGCTGCCCAATTGCGGGACCCTCCGCACAGCCCGCCTCCGCGGAGCAGCCGCGCCTTGGGCTCCGCGGGCAGGAGCTCGGCACCGCACCCCGCGCTGCGGCGGTCATTGGGTGGGAGGGGAGCCCAAAATCCACCGCAGCCCAACCACGTGCCCTTTTCGCTTTCAGTGCGCTGACACGAAGGAGGATGCGGAGCTCGCGTGTTGTAGCTCGGGTGTCTTCTGCAGAAGTCCCACCTGTGCCTGGGTATCCAACCACTCGGGACCTGGAAGGGCCCGGTGCAAAGACAGCTGTGTGTTTTTCCTGCCCAGGCTTGAGCAGTGGCAAGCACCCTCCACTTTCACCACCTTGGATCCTGCAGGAAAAGGATGCAATGGGCTGTGGTGCCAGCAAAACTGTTTACACCGAGCCTAGATTTCTAGTGTAAAAGGGGAAGGTTCTCAGAGTGCCAGGAGAAGCCCTTCATCGCACGCCCCAGCCAGGACATGGTGGTGCATGGGGCTGGCCCTGTGCATGAGCACCTCAACCCCGGCCTCCATCTCCCCACCCGTCCCAGTTCACATGTACCTGTCCTCCCCTCTCTCCTCTCCCCTCTCCTCCCCTTTCCCATCTCCCATCTCCTTTCTCCCTCCAGTCCCGTGTTTGCTTTTCTACTTTCTGTCTAGAAACACCACCGCAAACACAGGCAAGGCCAGGATAGGACTGTTGTTTAAAAACAGCGTGCTGAAGGATGTCTGTGTTGCCAAGACCTTTCCCGGCATCTGTAAAATCTGAGAGGACAAGCTGGCACAACGGGCAGAGAAAAGTAGGACTTAGAGATAACGCAAGGAGGCCTGAGACTTTTTGTTGGCCACAGGGCCCATAAATTATCTCGCTAGCCCCATTTTAGTGTTAGAGGAGCTCGGGACTACCGTTCCATCACAGGATCTGGAGGAGAAGCAGTAACAAAGGAACTGCTGTGCAGAAGGGAAGAAAGGGGAACCTCGCTGAACCCTTATCCAGCAGTCTTTGAGATGTAACATTACTTTAATGTGCCATTAGATCTACATTTAGAAAAAGGGTCATAACATAGATTGGGATGCACTGCTAAACAATTCTGTCAGATAATTTTTCTCAACCCAGCCTCCTGCTGAGGGTCTCAGTAACTTCTGTATTACACTGATACTGTGTTATGCCTGAATCCAAAGTATGCACACAGAGCAAGGAGGGGAAAGGAAGATGTGTCAGAGACAGGAGTTACAATCCAGACAGTTATAGCATGGGTGAGTGAAATGCTTGAAATAAGCAGGAGTGGTTTAGTATATCAGAAAATAATGGGAGTATCACTTTGGATCATGTAACAAGCCCTATGCCTTCCCAGCAGAGACAAATTCCTAAAATTCAATCAAGTTTGGACTATGCTTTAAAAAAAAAGAGAAATATTAATTATTTTTTCAAACTGTTTAGTGACAGAAAAGAGAATCATAGAATTCTAGAATGATTTGGTTTGGAAGGGACCTTCGGGATCATCTTGTTCCAACTCCTCTGCCATGGGCAGGAACACCTTCCACTAGACCAGGTTGCTCAGAGCCTCATCCAACTTGGCCTTGAACACCTCCAAGGGTGAGGAGTCCACAGCTTCTCTGGGCCACCTGATCCAGTGCCTCACCAGCCCTATAGTAAAGAATTTCTCCCTGATATCTAATCTAAACCTACCCTTCTTCAGTTTAAGGCCATTCCCCCTTGTGCTACCACGACATGCCCTTGTGAAACAAACATGGATGAAAAACAACTGTTGTGTGAAGTGGGGATGGAGGGTAGAAACTCGAGTAATATTTAACTCATCTGGATTTTTTTCTTTGTTTTATAGTTAAGATTTTTGATTCATGTTGATGAAAGGTATGGATGTTTTATTACTGCTTCCATTAATCACTTGGCTAGAAGTCCTAGGAGCATCCTGGTACTCCACCCCACCAGGCAATGGATCAGCACAGGACACAAAAATAATGCTTCCCATAAAGAATTTGTGATCTAAAGAAGGTCAGTTGCATGGTACATGGTTTCACTTTTATATAAATATACATTGTAGAATGTATTTGCATAAGCTATACTCATTATGTATATATATATAAGCATATATAAATTACATATATATGTGTATAGTAATTTCAGCAGAATTTATATGGTGAATCTAGAATGCAGATTTTTAATCTCCATTTGAGATCCTCTGAAACTCTGCAATTAGTACTATAAGATTATATTTAAGTACAAAAAATTACATGGGATTAAATTCACTGTTCTGGTTTTGGGTTTGGTATTTGGGTTTGGTTTTTTTTTTTTTGTATCAGAATTAACAGGATTTAATAACACAGCTTGGAATCTCCTTGCAATGAAAAGGGCTTGCACAGACCCTCCTCCTGTTAAGAGTTCTAATGACACCCCATTACTCAGCCAAACTTGAAGAAACTCCCCTAGCATCCTTCAGGAGGGAGACTGTGTTGGTCCTTCGATGCCATGGGCTAAAGCTGTTCTGCGTGCTGCAGAACTCACTTGTCTTTACCAGAAAATGAAAGTTTCTCTCCTCTGGTTTGGAGACAGCAAATCTGTGCCTTGCTGGCTTGTTTGCTCTGCAGCCAACCCGAAACAATACACCACCGACAGATGTGTGAACTTTTCCATTCAGTGGAATGAAGTGTTAGCTGCAAAACAGAGTTTTGGTGATTTGAATTGCCTCATGTGCATCAAGCTGTGAAAGAGGTTTAAAATAAACCATGAATAAGTTACAAATATTGTATTTTTTGAATTATCAGCTCTAACAAGTCCACTGGCAATAGAAAGTGAAGACAGGCAGAATGGGGCCTGATGTCTCTCATTAAAGTTACCAGTGTTTCTAGATGAAATTACAGTCTTACAGTGACATAGAATCGAGTCCGTGGAAAAAGCTGAGAAGATATTTTCAAGTTTTTAAAACTTGTTGAAAAAAAGAGAGAAGGTTTTTGATTGAAACCTATCATCTCACTTCCGACGAAGAGGAGTGTTTAGAAAATATATACCATATTTCAACCCAGTGCTTGATATGGAGTTACTGGGTGTCTAAGGGTAGTCTTTGAGGATAAGAATTTTCTGCCTCTCAGGTTTTTTTGTTCACTGATATACTACGAAAAAATTGTTTTGACACTTCTGACTTGCCATGTCCATGAGTTATGATGGAAAGTCCTTTTCTGTGCAGACTGAAAATCATCTTCCTAAACTGAGAGAAGATGTGCTGAGAAATAAACTGCAACTCCAAATGGCTTGCTTTAAACTATGTACCTGGTAGCACTTTTCCTCTCTTCTGGAGAGAATTTCAGTGGAAGTCTCTTGTTGAGTCTTTTACAGCACCGTGATGGCAGCAACGATGAGCACTGCCAGCCCTAATGCTCGTGAATACAGAAGTCAGTGTTCACACACTGCATGGACTTGTCTGTGCTCTCTTCCTTTGGTCTCATATACATGACAAAATCGCTTAAGTGGTTCAATAATCAGTCACCTCCATTTGGGGAGGTAGGACTCTGCTGTGACACAGCTTCCCTGAGGGGAAAATACTGTTCCACCCACTAATATTACTGGCAAAGGATCATTCTGGAAAGCTGTTCTTAAAGATAATTCCAAGGTATTTGCTGCTTAGAAGATCAGAAACTAGAGAGTTGGATACTTGGTGGTACTAATGTATGAAAACTGCAAGCAAATGAATGTTGCCAATGATTTATCTACTGAGTGAGCTATCATGAAGCAAAGCCTAAACTATTAACTGCTGTTCAATATAAATGTTTTCTACACATTGTCTATTGTTTCCAATGTCAGTATTCTTCTCTATTTTTTCAGAAGGTTTTGATCAGTTACTTCTTACTTCGAAAAGTTAGGGGA